TTGTTTGTGGTAACTGTGTTTTCAGAGCCCACGGCTGACTCAGGGATCAATAAGATTGTTGTTGGGACAGCAGGGCTGCTGCTCGGTCTGGTCTTTTCAGTTGCTGGACTAATTTACTACAAGAAGAAATCTTCTGGTGAGAGATTTATTCTGATTAATATTGAGATTAACACTGATTTTTCCACCTTGTCTTTATATATTTATTTTCTAATTGCAGAGCGTGTTTTGGTGCCAACAACTGAGGTAGGCATTTACATTTAACAATAACCTCACTGTCAGTTTGTCTGAAACATTTGTGGCTCTATGTCATTCATCTGCTTCAATAATGTATTTGTCCTACAGGTGTTTTATCCAGAGCTCACACTTTAAGTCCGAGAAGCCTTCGGGGATAAATTGAGAACTCAAATACAATGGTTCAGGCTATGTGCTCATTTCTATCCTTTGCTGACTTTGACTGTATATGTTCATTATATATAACTACAATGGATTATCATAAAAGCACAAAGCAGTGTAAAAGAATAAAAACCTACATCTCAGTAATAATTGTTGTTTTCTTCTATCAATGCTGTGGCCTACATTAATATTTCAGTATTTCTCCTCAAACTCTGTGGAGCCTTTTAGCCTAAATTGTTTATAGCTGTTTTAAAAGGTTTCTAAAGTTTGTTCATGAAACAAATAGAATTTATTGCACTGACAGCAACTGATATTACAGACAATGGGTGCAGAGAAATTAAATTAATTAACAGTGGCCTTCACATTTTAGACTGAGCTTTATCAATTAATATCATTTCTGGGGATCATAAAAACCACATTAACATTTTAAAAGATATTTTCCAAGGATGAGACCACCTGTGTTTTTGATTTCCTTTCTAAAAGTTTTGACTTTAGAAAAGAAGTTAAATCAACAGCTGTTCAGTCACAGTACCAGAGCCAGTTCAAATTACACACAAGGCTGCTCCATGCACGTAGAACTGGATATCACATTTAAAGCTGGTGCTATTACCAAATACAGGTGGTGGTGAAGCAACAAGAAACATGAATGTAAACAATGCAAAACATTTGTTAGATCTGGTTGTAACTTTCATTATGGGATCTTTAAGGTGACTGTATTAAAATGATAACATAAACTTTAAAATTAAAGTGAATGAATGGTAAGGATGAGCTCTGAGCAAGGCGAAGGTCCTGAATGTTCTGACAGGTGGAACCACAAGGAGTAGGACCCAAACGCAAGACTTCAGACACAGGATCTTTATATTAAAAACAGAAAAATCAACAAACAACAGCAAACAAATCCAAACTGCCACAGAGGCAGACGCAGGGTCAAACAACGGACAGCAACCCACAAACCAGGATAACAAACAACACAACTGAAAGCTGGAACTGTAGACACAAGGGTTAAAAGACAACTAACACAGGGAGTATATGCTACAGACTAATTAGACACAGGTGCAGATAAGCAGGGCGGGGCAAACAATTACAAACAGTGGGAAGACACACAAAGACAGGAAGTGAGCCGATCAGAAACAAGAAGGAGACGTAAATACAAATAAAACACAAAGTACACAGGAAAAACTGACTACACAATAAAACAATGTTCTCTGATGAAAATTAATACATTTGAATAAAATGACCCAAACTAGAACCATGTTAAATTTGGACTAATTTTACCGTACAGCTTTTGAGTAAATTAAAAGGGAAGTCTGCTCAGATTACATTATTAACAATAATAATAATATCCTCACATTTCAATGGTCATATTTTCATTAAAGTCACAGCTACATTAACACACCGCTTATCTGGTGCAAATGTGCGGAACAAATCACAGACATGGGGGGTAATTTCTGATTACATGAGGTCCGCCGGTAATACTTTTCCTGTTGAACAGGGCTTTAGTCTTGTTTATAAATTGTTTGTTGGAGTATTTTTTTTTTTGTCGTTGTTTGTGCTGTTATTTCTTCATTATCGTCATGTGAACTGAAGTAAATAATGTTGGAAATCCCACGAACCATTCAATAACAACACTGCCAACAGGCTAAAAGTAACCCGATTCTTCCCTCTCGTGAATTTCTTCATAGTGTTCATGTCTTGGCAAAAGATTTATTTATGTACAGATTATGTCTCACCTGCAAAACAGGTCAGACGGCTGCTTTAACATCCACATTTACACAGAAGCTGTGGTCAAACTCTCTACGAAGTGATTTATTTGAGATTTATTTCAATTGGATCCTTTTGCTAATTCATAATAGTACAGTTTAACTATAGTTCACTTAAATTGACTGCATTTTCACCGGTTACTTTTTTACTATGCCCATGTTTTCCACCTGATTTAGTCATGTGATTGTATGTGTTTCCTCATTGGTAACAGATGAAACAATGCTCCATTCAGACTGAGAGTTTGAACCATGAAGATCTACTCCGACATGCAGCGCTTTGCTCTCATAATCCTGGTGCTCAACAGCTTCTGTGCTTTCTCACAAAGTAAGAATGACATTTAAATTTAATAAACATTTATTCTAGTTTCTAACATTATTAATAATTGTATGTAAACATAAATAATAATATTGTTGTATTTTTGATATATTCTTATGTTTGTCTGTTTATCAGTGCCTGAAACAAACCACAAACATTATTAGAAGCTGTAACTTTTTCCAATATGTGACTGATTTTTTTGTGTTGTTTTTCAGTTCCTCATGAAGTGCTCTATGTTGTGGGCTGCTTTGTGAATGGCACAACTGAGGTCCAGTTTGAGTTTGATAATGATGAGATTTTATATGTGGATTTCCAAAAAAAGGAAATTGCATATACTGTGCCCAGACTTATTGATCCTGATCCAAGTACATTTTTGGTGGGTTTCATCTGCATGAATCTGTATATACATAAGTATGTATGTATATATTTATATATATGGATTGTTTTGAGTAGCATAAAGGAAACTACTACTTAATCTTGTTATACAACCCTGTGTTAATGATAAATAAATGTATCCTTTTGTCCTTGTACAGGGCTCTACTCGATGTAAGATTTCAATATTTGTTTTTGCACACTAAACTCCAATAAGCCTAATAATGCCTTCCTTTGTCATTTGTGACATGAAAACATGAGCTCCTATTTCGTACGGGCTTCGCTATTGGTTTGCCCCCCAAGGCACTGCCAGGGCAACCTGAAAAAAGAAAGATCTTTACAGTCACTGACCAATCGGTTAGCAGGCCACCAGTGCCCTCTCCTTAAATGAATCCTGCACCGGCGTAGCTCGTCACCCTTCTTCATTCAGGCACATGGATCTTCCACTCACAGTTTTCTCATATCACCATTGTCTTCTCTCACCTCAGCTCCCTTTAGGGACGAAGAACCACAGGCAGCCCACCACTACATGCAAGACAACATGCTTGGGTTGATTGCCTCGGCTGCTGAAAGGATGGACATGGGTTAGAACCCTAACCCTCACCCTAACCACCCCTAGCTGCCAACATCTTGCAAGTAGTGAGACTCAAAATTACATCTTTTCACTTCAATAAGAGGGAAAACTCTGCAGTGCCTGGAAAAGCTGCTGAACCAACCCACCCATCTTGCCTGTAACTAATGGGAAAACATTTATTTGTTGTCATTCCTCGCATTTGAGGGCAAGAGGGAGCTGCTGCCATCTTAGGTCTTCCAGCTCCCCTAATGCCACAGGTGATGTCAGTGACCATGAGGTCCAAGGACCAGGTATCCCGTCTAACATGTTGCCTCAATGGAAGATGGCGATTGTAACACGGTGGCCGCTGAGCTTTTTTTCCATTTGGAGTAATTTCATCTTTGAATCCGTTTCTGCCCAACTGGTCCAAGGGAGGAATATTCTCCTCGCCTAGCTCTGGTAGACTGGTAAACTAGAGATGAAGCAGAGTCTTTGCTAGCATTAGCTGTTTCTCAGCCCTTTCAGCAGGGGCACGTTCCTTCCTGAGATGGGAGGGTCAGAACAGGAGGACCCATTCTTCCTCTGCCAGTCAACCTTGTCACCCTGCCAGTTATGGACAGTTACAAGAGCCGTCTCCTTGCCTGGCGAGACAGGACCTTGTGAAAGGGTTATGCTCCACAATTCTGCCGCTAATCCCCCCATTCAATAGCATCCTTAAGACCTCCCTCTAAACCTCTGGAGATTGTAATAGTTTCTCTTCTCCCCAAGGGTGCCATAGCAGCGGTCCTTCCCTCTGAGGTGCAGCTGGGTTTTTCCTCCCTGTACTTGCCAAAGAAGTCAGGAGGCATTATGTGCGCCACCTCTGCTTGCTCTTAATACAGGGGTGGTGTGCTTCAGAAGAAGTCGGACATTTCCCTAGGTTGCCCTCGGTTTCTGTCACCCTTCTCCACCTCTATCACATTTAGTTTTGTGGTTAGTGGTCAACTTAGGCTTTGAAAGTTTGTAACGTTTACAGGCGGCCTCACTGTTGCTCCTGCATTACTCTGTGTACAGTGACACAGCTAAAAGCCAAAAGGGGAGAGATCTGACTGACAAAATGCGATATCTCGATTCTTTTTCAGGGACAGACCTATGAGAGTATACTTAGTGCTTCTCTGGCACAAAAGGATTACTGTTTATCAGTAATGGCAGCAGCGAAAGAGAAAAATCCACCAGAAGAAAAAGGTAAATTAACCTCAACATTTATCAGTGATATGATTGATAAAATGCTGATGAAGGTTTTTAATTGTCTTCTGACCTACTACAGACCCCCCTGAGAGCATCCTCTACTCTACAGAAAGAGTTGAGCTGGGAGTTGAAAACAGCCTCACCTGCTTTGTGAATCATTTCTACCCACCTGATATTAAAGTCAGCTGGTAAAAATGCCGTCCGGTGTCTGCGAGGGGTGTCACTCAGCCAATATTATCCCAATAATGATCAAACCTTCCACCAGTTTCACACCGATGGAGGGCGACATGTACAGCTGCACTGTGGAGCACTCAGCCCTGGAGAGCCCTATGACAAGGATCTGGGGTGAGTGTTTTACCTCATGAGGCCACTTAAAAATGCAAAATGAAATGTTTTGTTGTTACCTGTAATGATGCATGTCCTTTCTAGCTTCCTCCACAGAACCTGAATTGACTCCTCCCGGTCTTGGACCAGATATTTTCTGTGGAGTGGGTCTGACTGTGGGCTTGTTGGGAGTTGCAGTTGGAGTATTTTTCATTGCCAAAGGACACCATGATAATAATATGAATATATGAATATTGTTAACATTGAAAAGGTACACATTAAACTGCACCCTTTTTTGCTTTAAAAGATGGTGTGAAGCCTGTATTATTTATTTACCTGCATCTACTCTGCCTCTCTGATATATGACACCATATTAACTAGCAGTATACAGTAGAAGGACAGCTTAATCACACTGTAACTTATTCAATCATTGCCATGTGAAATACTGTATGTTTGATTCTTTCTGTTTTGACACTTTGATATCTGCTTAAATGTGCTTTATATTCTTATATTATTCATGGATTATTCATGCATTTATTTGAGTGAATTTGTAAAATAATGCACTATAACATCTTGTTTGCTCTTAACACAACATTATAAATAAAACTAATCAGTGGAGATGAATTTGTATTGTGCAGTGGATGTTTATTACAGCCAACCAATGATAGTGTGTGTCTAAGGAATTTATTCATACATTATACATAATGAATGAATTAAGATCAATAAATAGATCACATAAATCAGTTGATAAGGAATTGGACAATGTCAAGGGAAACCTCACCAGTAGTAATGTAATAGAAAATGTGGTATCATACCAACAACTTTAAACAATAAGATTTATCACAAAATCTGGAGGTGATTGTACTTGAGTGTTTGTTTGCTTCCTTGTTGGTTGTCAAAACATTCATCTAAAAACTAATAGTCCTTTTACAGATTACGATTTTAAACACAAAACATCAGTTTATAAAATATGATAAATATGATAGAAACATTTTCAATGCAGAACTTGCTTTAGATGCAGGACTTTTACTTGTAATGGAGTGTTTTTAAATTGTTGCATTGTTACATAAATATTAAGGGTCTGAGTTCTTCCTCTACACCTGGTACTACCTAGAGAGATTGCATACAGAGAGAAGGAAAGTAGTAATGTGACACCTTTTAGAGACTGACACTAGAGTCACACCTGCTTAGGGGAAAAACTGCTAGTATTAAAATCTGATATTGAACTTCCTTGTTTTGTCTAACTCAGAATAACAAGTTTCCTCTCTGTTGGATCTCTCTTCTTTACACGACAACATGTCTCGTGCTCTCGGCTTCTTCACTCTCCTGTTGGCATTTTTAAGAGCAGGTAAGTAACATGAAAACAGAACTGATCATTGTTTGTTTGTGTTGCTGTTCAAGTAGTCAAATATTCACTTGCTAGATTATGTCAGAAAAGGTAAAGCATAACAATAGAGACACACACGCCCCTGTTCTCAGTTTTAGCTTTAGAGTCAATGGGGCAAGTCGATTTTCTGAGAATAAAACGAGTAGGATTAGAGCACGTGGCTGCTTTGTATATATTTATATACTAACTAAACATAAACCGACTACATATACACAGCTTCAATATTTATCAGATTAACAAGCTGTGGTCGTAAAAAACAACTGCGATGGAAATATTGGCTCTCTACTCTCTGTGTGTCTGAGAGACTTCGGATGCAGTGTGTGTGGAGTCCTGCTCGCTGTCCTGCAGAGGAGAGGGCACAGAATCAAACACCAGGCGCTGCGCCCTGTATTTAACATTATGATCAATGATCATTAGACTGTTTTGGTGGTGCCTCCTCCGCATTTAGGGGACAGATGCAAAGGTCTTGATGATCACACCTGTGTGAAATCCAGAGAGGACGTGTTTGTATCACAACACAGTAAGTCAATTGATCAAAGTGACTGGAAACAAATATCCCAACATGCTATGGCATATGGATAATCCAAAGCCATGTGGCATTGCCATCAGTGGTTGTACTGATGGTTTTAGTCGCTATGTTGTGTGTGTGGAAGCTTATAGAACAAACGTGCTGGTCTTTTAGAGCAGGAATCACACAGATAGGTTTGCAAGAAACCAAAGAAGTTGACTTTATTCTTGACATTTCAACTTCCTTCTGGAAACTCTATATCAACTTTATTCTCAAAATTTAGACTTTATTCTTTATTTTGGACATGCAATTAGAGAAAAGTACTCAGTCAGAACCTTCTCTTATTTTTTGTCTCATGGCTGGTCCTAATACTACGAGAATATTAAATGAATCAAATGTTGTATGAAATACAAATAAGATATATATCCATATTAACTAATATCTGTTGGTATTATTTTGACAGATGCTCTCTACGGTCATGCTTTGATTCGTTGTCAGTTCAGTTCCCCTGATGGTCATGATGCTGTGTACCTGGAGCAGTACTACATAAACAAGATGTTGGAGTTCCAATACAACAGCACTTTGGGGAAAATGATCGGCTACACAAAGGAAAACATAGAAACTGCAGATAAATTAAACAAAAATCCGTATATTGGGTATTTACAGAAACAGAGAAAAGAAATGTGCAAAAGAAGAGCCTCACTTGTTTATAATAACCTTCTGAAGACAGGTGATTATCATTGAACATAACAGTAATGAATTTCCATAAAGCAAAGCACTTCTTACATCAGATGATCAATATATGTCCGTTGAAGGTCCAGTGTTTAACATTTTTAAGGATTTATTGGCAGAAATGGAATATGACATCTGTAGGTATGTTGTCATGAGTGTGAAAATCACCTGAATATAGGAATCGTGTTTTTGTTACCTTAGAATGAGCCGTTTCTATCTGCAGACGGATCTGTAAGTTTTGCGGCCTCTGTAGTTTCTCCTACACCCATTACAGGTAAATTGGAATCTGAAACTTAAGCAGTAGATGCCACTAAATGCTACACTGGACCTTAAAATATAAGGCTACAGTCTTGCACCTCTGTTTCCAAATAAAAATAAAGATGGCTGCCTGCCAGCTACCTGGAAAGGAAACAACTCTAAATTTAAATATTATATTAAATTTTTTTTATATTTGCAAAACTTACAAATGCTGAACTTTTGCTTCAAAGGCAGCTTGTATAAAATGAGTAAAATAAGTGCTACTTTATGACTAAATGTTGTATCTCGTGCTAACTTCCTCCAGTCGAGCCGTCTGTTTGGCTGAGGTCAGTTGAGGCAGTGGACAGCAGACATCCAGGCATGCTGGTCTGCAGTGCGTACGACTTTTATCCTCAACAGATCCGATTGACTTGGTTGAGGAACGGACAGGTGGAGACATCTGATGTGACATCCACTGTGGAAGTATCCAATGGAAACTGGCTCTACCAGATTCACTCCTATCTGGAGTTTACACCCAGACCANNCTGTATGGTGGAGCACGCCAGCCTCATGGAGCCCAAGCTTTATGACTGGGGTAAGAGAGTGTGCATGTGGACAGGTGACGCAGAAATTACGAATTAAATCTCAAGCAATGAGGTATTTATTATGTTCGCTCAAATACTGTACTGAAGTGTATTTTTTCCCCCCTTATTTTTATAATTTTGTTCCAGTGGAACAGGTCACCAGGATCAATACAACACAGTTCAAATGTTATTGGTACAGCAGTTAGCTGTGTATTAAGGGTAACTTGTCAGTTCTCCCATAGTCCCATGAAGAGAGAAAGGCATACAAAGACAGAACAGTATCAAGTAGGGATTGCTTTCAGTCCATATCCTCAGACGGAACTGGGGAATGACTGCTGTCTTATGACTTTCAGCAAAAACACATACAAACTTATTGTGAGCAAATATATCAAAGGAAAAAACATTATGAAGGAATTATACATATGATAATAAAAGTAGGCCACAAGCAAGATAAATGAGAGCAAAGAGGAAAGGTAAAAAGGAAAAGAAAGACAAAAGTGGGGGATTTCACATTTCCTTTATTTATATGAAATATCTATATGCCTGTGTATTCACCATTTGGACCACTGCTTGTGGAATTCATCAAACTAAAGTGCAATTGAAGTACTTTTACTTAAGTAAAAAATACTTTTCCAGCATTGGGTATTACTAGTATTTTTAGGTACGATAGAAAACATGACATAGAACCTATGATTTTATTTTTATAAATTTAAAAAATGTTTAGTGATATATGGACAAATAAAATGGCTATGTACATACTGTAGATATCTGCAAATGCCACAACCTGTAATAAAACTTTAAACATAAGTAGTATAACACATTAACTATTTCATGTAGCAGCACAGTAGACAGCGGAGATAAAATTCATTGTTTGTGGTAACTGTGTTTTCA